CAGGATCTGCAGGAAAATCTTCTTCAATGAAAAATTCTCCAGGAATACGAAGAGTGGATCCATAAAGAAGTTCTGCAGGTGAAGCTTTTAAATCTTCTTTGAAACACGAACGTAATCCCAAAAGAACTGAAGGTAAAGATTCTACCCAGTTGGTTGTTTCGTGGCACATAATCGCTGCTTTCAAAGTCCTATGCCATCTTTCCAGAATTCCATTTGAAGCAGGATGATAAGCAGAAGTTCTAATCCTTTGGCATCCAATTAGGTTTGTTAAAGCTTTGAATAAAGCTGCTTCAAACTGAGGACCTTGATCTGTTGTAATGCTGATAGGAGAACCAAAACGTGCTACCCAATGTGAATAAAATGTTGTAGAAATAGTTTCAGCAGAAATCTCAGAAATAGGAACAGCTTCAGGCCATCTGGAAAAACGATCAATCATAGTAAGACAATAACGGTAATTTTGACAAATAGGAAGTGGTCCAACAATGTCTAAATGCACATGCTGAAAGCGTTGATCAGGAATTGCAATCTTAATTGGAGAATTCTTGGTGTGTCTTGAAATCTTCGCACGTTGACATGGAAGACAAGTTCGAGTCCATTCCTTCACATCTTTCTTCAAAGAAGGCCAAATGAATTTCAGTAGTAATTGTTTAGATGTCAATCTGCCGCTGGGGTGAGCGAGTCCATGAACAACATCAAAAATTCTCTTGCGTAAGAGTTTAGGAACATATGGACGAATTAATTCCGAAGAGCAATCACAATAAATAGGTATGGTTGATCCTGAAAGAATAAGTTTCTTCAACAGAAGTGAAGAATTTGAAGAAAGTAAAACTTGAAGTTCTTCATCTTCTTTCTGATAATTAGCAAGTTCTTCTAAAGAAACTATAATAGGCATTGAAATAGATTCAATTCTTGACAGAGCATCAGCAACTGAATTCATTTTTCCAGAAATATAGGTAATATTTGTAGAGAATTGAGCAATAAAGTCCAATTGTCTGATCTGTCTTGGTGACGCTTTATCCAATTTCTGACGGAAAGCAAAAATCAAAGGTTTATGATCAGTTCTGATAATCAGTTGTCTTCCTTCAACAAAATGCCTGAAATGTTTAATAGCCAAATAAATGCTAAGAAGTTCTCTATCATAAGTGCTATAATTTCTTTGAGCTTTGTCTAGTTTCTTTGAGAAAAATGCTATTGGTTTGATATCGTCGTCAATAGACTGTTCAAGTGATGCACCAACAGCAAAGTCAGAAGCATCACAAGTTAAAATAAGAGGAGCATGAGGAGCAGGATGAGAAAGGGTAGTAACTTGTAAAAGTTCTTCTTTACATGACTCGAAAGCTAATTCCGCTTCTTTAGTCCAAGAAATAATTCTTCTATCCCTCTTGCGACTGTCCTTTAAATATTCTGTTAACAGAGCTTGATGATTTGCAGCATCCTTGAGACAGCGACGATAATAATTGATAATTCCTAAGAATCTGCGTAATTCATGAAGTGTCTTAGGTTTAGGATAATCAATAATTGATTTCACTTTTTCGGATGTAGGTTTAACTCCTTGGTTAGAAACTAAGTAACCAAGAAAAGAAATCTCGCTTTGACCGAAAAGACATTTAGCGACATTGATTGTCATTCCAGCTTGTTGAAGACGATCAAAAATAATGCGTAAGTGAGCAATATGTTCTTTCTCATCTTTAGAAGCAATAAGAATGTCATCAAGATAACAAAAGGCAAAACTCAAATCATTAAGTAAAGAGTTCATGAGCCGTTGAAAAGTTTGGGCTGCGTTTCGTAAACCGAAAGGCATTACGACAAATTCAAAAAGCCCAAATGGAGTAGTGACAGCTGTTTTGTGAATATCTTCTTTAGCGACGGGTACTTGATAGTACGCTTTAACTAAGTCGATTTTAGAAAAGATATTCTTACCAAAAAGTGAAGAAGAAAAATCTTGAATATGAGGTAAGGGATAACGATCCGGGATAGTCACTGAATTGAGTGCACGATAATCACCACACAGTCTCCAAGAATTTTGTTCCTTTTTAGGTACCATATGTAGAGGGGCTGCCCAGGAGCTGCTTGAAGGTCTGCAAATTCCTTGCTCCATCATAGACTTGAATTCTTCCTTGGCACATTTAAGTTTCTCAGGAGTAAGTCTTCTGGGAGTCGAAAATTTAGGAGAACCTTCCGTAACGATATGATGTTCAACACCATGTGTTTTTACCGAGGAAATTGGAGAAAAACGGGTGAGTCCTGGAAATTCGGTTAAAAATTTGTGGTACACAGAATCAGGAGATGTGGTAAAAATTGACAAATGTGCAACTTCTTGAATTTTTCCAGTATTCGTAAGACCGGTAACATTATCAATCAATTTCTTGTTTTTAATGTCAATTAGGAGATTAAAATGACAAAGGAAATCGGCGCCTAAAATAGGACGTTGAATATCCGCGACACAAAATTTCCATTTGAATTCTCTCCTTAAACCGAGGTTCAAAATTAAAGTTTTAGAACCGTAAGTATTAATTTGAGTACCATTTGCGGCAAAAAGTTTTAAATTAGTATGCCACGGCTTCAATAAAACCTTTTTAGGTAACAACGATATATCAGCGCCCGTATCGACAAGAAAATTCAAATTTGAATGTCTGTCGAAAATAATGAGGCGATTGTTAGAAACACCGTCGTAAGCAGCCTCAGTCTTAAGCGGCGTTTTTAGTTTTCCTGTGAAGCCAAGAATGTTTTGGACATAGAACAAGGTAAAGTACATCGTTTAGCCTTATCACCAAACTTCTTATGGTAAAAACAAATTGATGTATCTTTAATATCTTTATTTGATTTGTCTTTCTTACGCGATAACGATCTAAATCTTCTATTCTCTCTAGACCGGCTTTTGGAACGATCTCGACGACGAGAAACTTCAAGAGCTTCGATTCTTCGTAGCAAATCCGCGAAATCCGAAGATTTATTACTTGTATTATTGGAAACTTCCGCGACTTGCAAACCGCCGTCCCGATCAGCAATTTTATCGGCTAATTCCGCAAGTTTAACAAGAGGAACATCCTCTACTACGGCTAAAGTCGTTTGAATTCTATGTGGTAAGCGTTGAAGCCAAATCATTTGCAAAACACTATCTGCTAAAGATCCTCCAGACAAATGACGAATTTCTCGAAGTAATTCCGAAGGCTTTTTATCATTAAGTTCAATTCCAGCTAATATTTGTCTCAAACGTTTTTCCTCTGAATCCGTAAAGCGATTTATTAATATTTTCTTTAAATAATTATATTTATCTGTTTTAGGTGGATTTTCAATGACTTCAGATATGTTTACTAAGGCTTGTTCATCAAGATGACGAATGACAGAACTATATTTAATATCATCTGATCGAATTCGATAAACCGTAAACTCACTTTCAATAGAAGCAAACCAGAGTTTAGGTTGTTTATGCCAGAAAGTCGGTAGTTTTAATAAACGAAACTCATTTGAGTGAATTTGTAACATAGGATCACTCACCTGATGTCCAGTTTGAGAAGGTAAAATATTAATATTTTCTGATCCAACCTGATTTGATCCGCTCGCCAAATCCATATCAATCTGTGTATCCGAACAGGGTCTAACTGGTGATCTATCGATTGGCATTTTCCTCTTGTTCCAGGAATCCGATAAAATGATTTGAGAATTTCCGTGAAGGACTAATCCGCCTCTGATGTTTCAAAGATCCGAGAATGAATCTCTTAAAATCAGAATATCCAGCAATTCTTCCAAGCGATGATAATATTTCGCAGACTTCAAATACGACGATCACTTGGCACTTATTCCGCATCAGCCTTTAAAATGCGTCGGCTTTAATATCACGTCGGCTTTAATATCACGTCGGCTTTAATATCACGTCGGCTTTAATATCACGTCGGGGTCACCAAAAATGTAGCGACTTATAAATAAATTCACCAGATCTTTGAAAAAGTAATGTTTATTCATTGAAAGTATAAAGCGAAAGAACAAAAAGAATTAATATGTAACAAATAAATGAATGAATGTGTTGTTATGGAAATATTGATTTTTCTTAAAAACATTATGTATATTAATGAATTGAAGTTATTACAAATGTATAAAGATGTAAAAAAGTGTAAAAGTGCAGTGAAAAGTGTAAGGTGTAATAAAAGTGTAGAGTGTAAATGAAAGGTGTGGATGATGAATGCTACACGGAGTTTGCCTGGGTGTACTGCCGACTAGTGGTGAGCGATGTTAAAAAAAGCATCGATTCGGAAATAATCGACACAAAATAAAATCGATGTTTCAAAATCGATATTTTGCCAAATAAATCGATTTTAATCGATTCTTTTTTATGCGGGACAATGCGCGCCTAATTTAAATAGCTGCAACTAAAAGGAGAAAAAAACCGGCAAAAAATTAATAAAAAATTAAGTAAAGTATTATTTTGCTTTTATTAATATCCCTATTTTTTATTATTTTACTTTTTATTTATGTATATACAAAATTGAGCATGGAATATTGATGTTCCTGGTAATGGTTTGAATGCTGTATGATTTATAATTTTATCTTGTTTCTCTTAAGCGGGGAGCACACACTTTTGCATAAGCGCATAAGCGTAAGCATAAGAATCTTGATTGGTCTATAAACGTATGCACAAGAAATTCAACCAATCGAATTTCTTATGCATATGCTTATGCGCTTATGCAAGAGTGTGTGCTCCCCGCTTTATGATTCCAGAGTTGTATCTGCCTCCTTCAAATACATACCTATACAAAGAAAATATTTATTAGTTCTATGTTCATAAAAAAAGATAACCGAATAAAAATAGTACAATGAGAGTAAAGGTAGAAGCTTGAGAAACAGGTTATAATTATTAAAAACCCAAGAAATTTGATATATTATGCTATATTATTAATTCCTGTAAACATATTACACATCTTGTACATAATTTTATGTACAGTAAGAACACATGCTTCTTATTTCGCGAAGTAAAGGAAACATCGATGTTATTTTTTAATAATCGATTGTTACTCGATGTATCGATCAGCAAAAACATCGATTAAAATAATCGATGTTGTAATAAAAAGCATCGATTTTCTAAACATCGAGTGAACATTGCCCTCCACTACTGCCGACCCTTAATAAAGAAGAAAAATAACCTCTTGAACGAAAAAGAAAAGCGACAAAAACTTAAACCAGCGAAAGAGATGTATGCGAATGTCCTGTGAACGCCGTGGTGAACAGGCGATGGATGGACGGATGACGTTCAGCGAGGAACGTGAGACAGCCCTGCCGAGAAATGCCGATAACCCATCACACCAGATTTCGTCAACATCTACGTCCGAGTCAACGAATAACGACGTCAAAGAAAGACTGGCGATAGAGGAGCGACTGGCTGCTAAAATGTTTTCCTATGAAATTGTTTGCTTCTTCCTCGCGATTACTTTTGCTGCCATGGCTGCTCTACATAGCTCGTGAGTTGTTCATTTAATTTTCATATAAATTTATATATATATGTATATATTTACTTTTTATTGTATTTATAGATTCGACCTTAAGTTTGTAGCGTCACAGACTGAATATCCTTGCTTACTAAACCGTTATATATTATTCTAGATATTTCTTAATTTGAAAATTTTTTAAATTTCTTATTTTAAAAATTTTATTTTAATTTTTTTTAATTTAAAACATTTTTTTATTTTTATTTTTTTATCGTGTTGTTTCCTTCAATCTTTCTTTTTCTCTCTCAAAACAACGTATGCTAAAAACTTATATTACATACATATTGTATCACCACACTTAGATCATATAATAAAATGTGTATTAAAAAAATGAATATAAAGATTCATAATAAAACTAAAAATTATATAACCAATTTTTAACATATGTTTCATTTATATAATTTATATAATTGAGTGATACAATATCCTTGCACTGTGAACCACTATATATTACTTTAGATTTCTTAATTTGAAAATTTTTTAAAATATTTTTCTTAATTAAAAAAATTTTTTTAGTTTTATTATTTTTTTTCGTGTTGTTTTTTTCAATCTCTCTTTTTTCTCTTTCAAAACAATGTGTACTAAAAATTGATATTACATACGTACTGTATCATCACACTTAGGTTATAATACAATGAGTATTAAAAATAAATATAAAGATCCATAAAAATTTTATAATCAATCTTTAACATATGTTTCATTTATATTTATATGATCATAATTGAGTGATACAATATAAGGATATAGAGAGCTTTCTAGCAAGAAACATATGTAGGATGCTTTCCAGCTATAACACAAGCCAACACAATTATACACAGCTGAAATGCTGTATTTGATTGTGTTGTCGTTTTATGTCATTTCATGAATATCAATTTTTTTATCATTACAGAGCACAATTTTTTAAATTAACAAATATTCTGGTAGGGGAGATAAACTTAAAAAAGCAACTATAAAGTGACTATTCTCTAGTAGTAAAAAGTAGAAAAACTAGTAATTTTTTTACTCTATCATCAGAGAGCATGATAGTCTCATTAGATAATTTTTTTCTAAATTTAAAAAAGCCTTCTTTTAAATTTTTTTTTAATTTACCTCCACAATGTGTATTTAGGTAGCAAGTGTATGTCATTTTTACGTCGAATGACGTCATTAAACGGTATATTTAACGATAAAATGACAGTAAATTTAACAGTAAAAACGTCATTTTGACGTTTAACTTTTAGAGGACGGGCGTATTTTTTCGTAAACTTTTGTAATTTGAAGTAAGAACTTTTATATCTTTATTATAGTGTTGTACTATAAAAAATAAGCGACCCTTATAGAACCAAAATATTGGCTTCTTGTCCTCTAAAGGTTAATGATGTCAATTTGTTATTTGAGTGTGTTCTGTTGTTGGAAAGTATTTATGGATATAATTGACATGGATATGATTAACATTATAAAAAAACTTTTTTGGAACTTTTTTTAAAGATTTTTTAAATTTATGTGATAGCTAATTGTACTTCTTTTTTTTTGGTTGAAAGCTCTCGCAATAAATTATGTCTATATCTGTAATCAGCTTAATTGTTTGTACTTGTTTATTATCATGAATTTTGTAGACCTCCCAAAATTTCCAAACCTCCTATAGCGAAACCTTTCTTCGCTCAGAGCTCCATAGTATTGGATTTCTATAAGGGTCATTTAGATGCAATGATCGAAAGAATAACGCAGGCGGATTTTAGTTTTGTTATGTATTACGCTCCTTGGGATGCGGAAAGCCAGGCTCTTCGTAAAGAATTTGAAAGCGTTGCTCGGTTTTATCATCCACAGGTATACGAGATTTGTAATATTATCTTACTCGCATTTTTTTACATATTGATTAATGCTTGCATTGTATCGTTTTTAGATATTCTTTGCAGCTATTAATTGTTGGCATCCTGATTCAGAATGTAGAGCACAATATAATAAAATTCATGGCTATCCAGTGCTGATGCTGTATCCGGCCAGAGAATCTGGTATCAATTACAGAGGAATTCGCACAGCACCATACATGATTCATTTTCTAGATGCGCTTATGAATCCTATTGTCAGAATAACACATAAGGAACAACTAACAGAATTATTGATTGCCAATGATGTAAGTGTAATTTATAAATTAAAAAATTAAGTAAAATTAAGTAGAAATTAAAAAAAGATTATAACAGACTTTGTCTCATAATAGATGTTAAATACGTTTAAGAAAAAAATAATTTTGTTTTAAAAACGAAACTTGTTTTTTTTTTTTATAAAAAAACTATATTTTGTGGAAACAATATTTATTTTCTATTTACATCTCTAATAACAGTGTATTTTGTATCAATGATTATTTAATAATTTACTAAAAATTTACAGGCAGTGGTTATAGGATATTTTAATTTTACAAGGTTGGATAAAACTCCTGGATATCGAGAGTTTTATAAAGCTGCAATACGATCACTGGAAAGAGATCCTAACAGAGAATTGGTATTTGCTGTAGTAACTAGTGCATCATCCAGTAAATTGCATTACGGAGTCTATAAGTTTCCATCAGCAAATTTACTCATGTGGAATGAATCTTTAGTAAGTGTATAATATTTATATGTGAATTTTTATACTTACTTTATGTAATATATTAGTCTTTATGAAACTATTCAGAGCTATCCAGAAAACAATGAATGGACGTGTGAGAATATTCTCAGTTGGATTAGCAGTTCTATTCATCAACCATCCCTTTGGTTACAACCTCCTGGTGCCAAAGCCCTTACTTTCGCACCTTATTTACACGAAGGACCTGTCTTATTTCTTTTTACACCACGGAATCCACTTCATACAGAAAATTATATTTACAATCTAGTGCGCATTAAAATTATTCCATAATTTATAAACATTTACTAATATAAAAAAATTACAATTGATTGTATGATTTTTTTAACTTTATTGCATATTTATGAAATGCATGAAATTAAGATTTAATTAAGGTGTTCAAGTTATATCGAAATATTTTTGTTCTTTAGATAAGAGAACTTGGCTTACAGTATTACAACTGTGCAGATAATATGCTAGTGAAGGATATAATCGATCGTTTGGAAATGAAACGAAGTACAGCAATGATCCGTCACTTTTCTAGAAATCAAGAATGTGCCCAACTCCTGAACAAGACCAATATTTGTACTGAACAAATAAAAGAATCCATTACTACCATATCAATTCAGCGATGGATTAATAATAGTTGTTGTGCAAATGTGGCGATGAATAAATGCGACATCTTGTGCAAGACGAAGGCGATGAATTCATTAGAAAAAGAGATCTATAGAGCTAAAAAGTATGATGATGTTTGCAAAGATACTGACGTATTCACATCTCCTATGATTGGACAACATGAAGAGCAGATACACAATTATAACAAGAATTCCAAGATAAAATTAGAGGAAAAGTCAAATTTAAACAGGTAACATTAATTATATATATGGACAAATTTTTATATACAAGCTATGCGAAAAGTCCCGGAACGGTTTAATATTTCGGAAAGGAAGTATTTTACGAACAAATATTTTAGATCAAAAATTGTAGTGTTTAAAAGTACCCATTTAATGGTTTGATCTTACCATAGATGGTATAGCCAAGGTCATATTAAGATCCATATTATTAAAATGGAATTACCATATTTTTTTATATAAATCGATTTCTCACAATATTCTACATATAAAGATATAAGGATAGAATGATCAAAAATTAAATAGTTTACGAGATATTTTATATTTTAATTTAACACAATTTTACATAAAGTATGAAATACATATTTTGTAAAGTATTCATTTTCTAATCTTACCTTAATACTTTTATGATACAAATTAATGAGAATTAATTGGTTTAAAGAAAACATAATTGATTTAAAAAAAAGTATATAATTGTAACTAATAGCTACATACTAAACTATTAGCTACATACATCTAAAAAATATTTTACATATATAAAAAAATGAAATGTATATATATTGTTTTAAGGGTACATACAGATATGAAGTATAAAACATCATTATTAAATGAAGAAACCGATTCACGATCTGCAAGCATTATAAGAAGAAATTTTTTAAAAGAAAGTTGCAAAAGATGGTTAGCCGGAAACGATTATTATCCAACATTATTTCCGCAGGATTCTTCAAGGAAATTTAATATCAGTTTAAAGAATTGGTTTGCAAAACCAACAAGACATTAGCTTTATAGCTATTGACAGTTTACATTATTCCCATTTTGCGGAACATCTTGGGATTGATCTCTCAAGGCGAAAAATAAAACTACCGTTGTGATCTTAGATGCCGCAGTAAGTTTTAAAAGACGAGATAAAAAGATATTTTAAGGCTCCTAGCTCCTTGCCGCTGCCATGTTAGATTGATGTCAGAGGCGAGAAAGGACACGCTGAAAATTCTTAGATGTCATTTTTAAAAGTGAAAAGATTTTGATGAAAAACTACTTCAAATGGCTTTATCACATTTTCAAAATATTCGAAAATTATTAACTGACGTTACAATTCCAACATGATCGGTGAGGAGCCAAGAGTTTTAATAATACATTTTAACATAATAATTAAGTATGCTTTGAAGCATCATAAATTTTGATAGTTTAAAATTAGTTCCGTTCAAATTTCGAAATTTTCTTGATTTTTTTCAAATTACATGTGGCATTTTTTGTCATTGCAGCTAGAAAGTCAGTACGTCATGCATCATAATTTCAGCGAATACACTCTCGTCAATTTCATAAACAGTTATACGCAAGGTTTGCTAGAGCGAACATTACGTTCGAACAATCCACAGCGCAACGAGACGCAAAAATTGAATGAAAAAAACCACAATAATGAAGAGAATTCGCATTCACAAATTCATGTGCTAGAACTAACAACGAAAACATTTTTGGACATAATTTTGGATCCAACAAAGGTCAGTTATGCAATGCATTTATTACCCTTTATAATTAGCAATGATAATATAACATAGTGTACATTTTATTTTGAAATATCTGGAAATCATGGGATTTTAGAAAAAATATATCGGGCCAAAAAGGTTTCGAGGGACATTAATATCATGACCTAAAATTCGCATCTTTACAGACTTTTTTAAAATCATTTACCAGTCTTGATCTAATTAAAGACGAATCCAAAAAGCCGAGAATTTTTTTTATTTTTGATATATCAGGAAAAGCTATAGTTTAGAGAGTTGATGATTTAGAGTTTTTTCTTTTTAATTTTGATAATTTACATAAACTATCAACATATATATATTATATATATATTTATATAGATATAAATGAATGAAAAATCGGCCTTGATCCAAATGCACATTTTTGTAAGGTGTTATCCCACTCGATTAGTCCTGCAAGAAAGGATTAATTTCGATGCTTTATTCTAAAGAAAGGAAAAAAACTTTATCGCATTTTTCACGTTTCAATCTTGAAACCCAAGCCACGATTTATTTCAGTTCTACAAACACTTTTTACAAACAACATTTTGAAATTGCTGTAAACACTGTCAAAAAGTCTATCATCCTGTATCCAACACTAGGATTCACTTCAATATCATCTGAATTATTTGCAGATAATTTCTTAGCAGACGTACCAACGTTCTCACTAGGCTGCTCCATTTCAAAGCGATTTAACGGACGCTGCCGCTTTGAAATGCTTGGTCCATCTGCTTTGGATTTCCGTCCTCTTTTGCACCGAATAAACTGGCTTCTTGTCATCACTCATATTGTTAACAATGATAGTTTATCAGTAAAAACACTGTAGTCAATAAAATAAAATAATTCGTTAAAGCAGAAAAATTAACGAAAACAAAAAGAAGCGTTCACGCGTGGTGTCGTTTTTCAGCTGTCTGACTCACACACAAGCCCACACATACAGCTGTATTGATAAACAAACACTTCCTAACGACCTTTTGGGGAACAATTATTGGCCCCGTTAGTACATTAGTGCAAAGAGTAAGGTAAAAAGGGGACAAAAGGAAGCCCGCCGCGGCAAGTAGAAAATGCGCTCGTCGCCCGCTCCGAACGCTTCGACACTACAACGGATTGGACAGGGAAAAAATTGTTTTTTCACTATTCTACCAATTGAATAATGTTTTTAGGACCCTAGGGGGAATTTAAGCCAATAAAAAAAATTTCGATTTTTTGAAAATCCTAGACTGGCCTAACCCCTTAATCTTACTTGATTAATGAAAGGAATAATTTGGTATAAAAAAAACTCAATTATTTTTTGTAAACATGTAATTAGCAAGTAGCAGCTAATTTTTCTTTACATAAATTAATTTCTCTCATTTTGTGCATAAAAGTATAAAGATAACATCGAAAAATGAAAATTTTATGAGATACATCATAATTTATGTAAAATTATATTAAATTAAAGTATAAAATATCTCATTAATTATTCAGTTTTGGCTATATGACTCTTATAATTTTTTATATCGAATATTTCGAGAAATTGATATAAAAAAAATTAAGGTGATTCTACTTAAAAATAAAAAAAAAATAGATTGACCTAAAAATTATCTTGGAAAATGCTACCAAAGACAATTCTAGGTCACGATATTATGTCCCTCTCGAGACTACAACTTTTGCCTGTTACATTTTTTTAAATCCCGTGATTTCCAGATAATTGAATTTTCAAAATAAAAGTTAACACTGTACAATGATTTCAATGCATAATGCATTAATGTTTTTTATAGGACGTCGTTGTAATGTACTATTCTCCTTACTGTGGATTTTGTAGTGCTATATCATATGTATATTTAACAGTTGCATATTACTTATCCAATATGGATCATCTAATCTTTGTAAAGATTGATGGGGACAATAACGATTTACCATGGGAATACAGCATGAATCGCTTTCCGTCCATTTTATTTTTTCCTGCAAAAAGGTGCGTTAACTTTTGCCTTCAGCAATTTTTAGTTCTAAACTTTTTTGAATGTGATACTTTTATTATATTAAAAAAACTTGTATTTTATATTTTATTTATTTTACACTCTTCTGTTTTGTTTTTTCCTATTTTAATTATCAAAAACAATTTTTATTTATATATTTTTAATTTTATTAAGGGAATTCCTCAATTTTATTACCAATAAAATTACTATTTTCATATTTCTAGTCTCTTGTCGCATTAATTTGACATAATTAAAAATGCTTTTCCATAATTGCAAAATGCGCATACATCAATAATCCTAAAAAGCTTCGGTTTTATATACAAAATAAAAAATAATTACGAAATTATTATCCTAAAATTGTCCTATTTTATTGATAAAACGATCATTTTTCTACACTCTTTTCTTTTTTACTGGTTGAATAGAATAATAAATACTTTTCCACGATTAAAGTACATATACAGGGTGTGCTATAGAAAATTGTTGAAACTAATCAGTTGTCATTTTTTAATACAAGCAATTATTGAGAAAATAAAAATTGTGTTGAAAAGAGAAAAGTCTACAGTTTTAATGGTTTTATAAATAAAATGTTTGTATACCAGTATATTTTATTGATAAAAAATAATGAAAAAAAGTGTTAATAACCACATAAAATCACATAAATTAATGATAAATATTTTCAACAGTGCCAGATTTAATAGCAGCTATTAAAATCGTCAATAACATTAAAAATGACATGATAGAAAAAGTTTTTATGAGGTTTCGTAAAAGAACAGAATTTTCTACAAATTCAAATGGTGCGCACTTCGAAAAGATTTATCATTAGTTTACATATGTGCTTATTAGCTTTTTTCATTACTTTTTTCATTATTTTTTATCAATAAAATAAACTGGTATACAAACATTTTATTTATATCCATTAAAAATTGTAAACTTTTCTCTTTTGCTACGGGACACCCTGTAGAAACAAAGCCGGAACTTACCAATTTTGTTATAAACAAAAAATTTACATTAAATTTTTTTTTTACTTTAATTGTGAAAAAGCATTTATTCTATTTAATTAATAAAAAGAAAAATGCGCAGAAAAATAAATGTTTTATTGCTAAACAGTGTTGTGCTTAGATAATTTAAAAATTAGCTAGATAAAGATGAGATAAAAATATGTAAATTTATCTTAGATAAGATAAAGATGATTTTGTTTTAAATATATTTAGATAAAATATAAAATTATATGGCGATTTATCTAGATAATTTTCTAGATAATAATTTTTAAGACTGCTTATGTAAACACAGTTATAAAAAAAAATGTAAATTATAAAAGGAATATAAAAATGTGTTCATATTTTTATTTATAAATTTTTATCGCTTACTGTTTAAGTTAGATTATTTAAATATTTTATGTGCTATGATTCTAAACCAAAATTATCTGAAAATTATTCTAGATAATTTAGTAAAGATAATACTTTTTTTCATGTAAGATGCAGATATAGATAATACATATTTTTATTATCTATAATAAAGAGATGACGCCAAAATTTCATCTAGATAATCATCTATATAATTTTATTTACATAACAGCAAACTCTGTCGCTAAAACAGACCGGCTTTAGGGCTAAGATCACCTTAATTATCATTATTTAAAAACAAGTTTTAATATATCTAATAATGTTTACTTTTGATTGAAATTTTAGGAAAGAGGACAGCACCGTATTTCCATTTTCCATTCCTATTACCATTCCAAATTTACTGAACTTTGTACTAGCGAACTTAAACGGCGATTCCCACGTCGAAGCTTTGATCAACGTCTGTCAAGCGGGAACCGGCGAAGCGCCGGATAAATGCATCACCAGGACACGACGATTGTGTTTAGATATTATCGAGCAACTTCTGCAGGATTACAGAAAGTTAAGGCGGCACTTGAATTTTTTGGATAAAAAAGTTGCGCGCAATAAACGTAAGATCATTCTTCTAAAATTAGAGCATATCAAGGATATTCATTTGATTTTGGGTTCTACCGTTGATCTTGATCGAAAGAGAGATCGAACGAAGGCGCAATTGATTAAGAGAAAGTTTCAAAAATACTATAGCGCTATTGGATCGTTAGAAAATGATAAGACGGAAAGCCGGCCTTTTGCTATTAAGGATGCCGCGCGTACGCCAACTGCTAAACATAAATTGATGAGAAGCGAATTGTGATATAGATTTTGCCTTGCAAATCTAGATATGTCTTTGCTATGATAAATATATATATGTATATATGTAATAATAGATATTAATATGAATAGATATTTTGGAATACTCTCGATATTTCAGTAATTAAATTGATATCAAATTATAAATAAAGATAGACTTTTTTAACTTGACTATCATTTCTTATTAATATAAAAGAGGAAAAAATTTGTTAATGAAAACATAATTAGAACCAGTAATTTTACAATCAACTTTATGTAATAAAATCATGAAAAAGGATGTATAAAGTTCTTGTAAATAAGATTGAATATAAGAGTGTGTCAGTAAATATTACCAAATTAAAAAATACGATTAACTGTTTAATTTAAGATCCTAGCATATATTTCATTAAATATAAAATATGCAGGATAATTTTTTTAAATGCAAAACTTTTAATTGTATAAATATTTTCAAAGATAAAATTCTTACATATATGCAAAGTAAACACATCTAATATATTTTCCAATTCTAGTCACAGCAAAATTAAAAATTTATAGTCTAAGCATTTAGATTTCCTTATATATTTAAATTATATTAATTAATTGATTATAATAAAAATATTAAAATATTGAATGTTATCAAAAATATTTGAAATTAATAAAATATAAGTATAATGACTAATATAAGATTTGAATTTAATTATCCAAAAATAACCAAGTCCAATCCAAGTAGTAAATTATTTTGATATCAAATGATATGCATTTGTTATTTGAGAAGTCGAGAGCAAATCTTGTTAAATACCTGCTATAAATTGTCAACAAAATAGCTATGTACTTTGATATGGGAGCTGTTATTACTAATTAGATTGATATTTAAACATTTTTAATATATTTGAGCCTGTCATTTAATTCTATCTATTTAAAGCCAATGTTTAATTAGATTATTAGATAATTTAATTAAAAAGTTTAATTCTTACATAATAAATTATATTTAAAGTTTTATAAATTATTATGTAATTACTTTTACAACTTATTTTATAAATTATTTAATTAAGTCGAATTCAATTGTTTGCTATAATGTATATAATGATATTATATTTTACAAAATAATATAAATTAATGTAAATAAAATTAACATATATTCAAATTTATAAGAATATATACATATATAATTATTTATTTTATATAATAAGATAAAAAAATGTGTACATAAATAAAAGTAAATCTTTAAAAGCATAATCTTTATTTCGAAAAATTGTTAAGATTATTTATTATATATTCACTTTATTCATCCGTTGCTAATAGGTATCAGATAATAGAAAATTTCAGATATACTTTATAGAAGATAACAAAAACAAAAAACAATTTGCATTAAAAAAAACAATTTATATTGAAAATAAAATTAAATAAAATAATTAAAAATAAAAAATAAATAAAAAATATATATATACATATATAAAATATATATAAATATATTAATAAAAATATAAATAAATATACATATAACTAAATATAAATATTAATAAATATATATATGAGAAATTGAGAAACATCTGTTTTAAATTGTAACGAAAACTAATGGTAGTATGAAGAACCTGCCTGCGTTTTTAATGTATTATTTTAAGGTATTATTTTTTATTATAGGATTTTTAAGGACATTTTCTAATTATATATATTATTGTAAAATTGAAAAAATTGTAACTAACTAAATAACAAATTATTTTTGTACCCCATAGTTCTCACTTGATAAGGACCAAAATCAATGATCGAAACGTCGTGATCTACATTCTTACAATCTTGCTAGTTTGGTCGTTAAATAATAAATAAAGAAGATTAATAAATATGAATATAAATATGATGTTTTTTAAATCGGCCAACAGAACCAAAGCACGAAAAATTAATTATTCGGAATTATATCTCTTGGTTTGAGATCACTAAGTTCCATATATAAATTAATCTCGAAACTTACATATAGAGAAATAGGCGCGAAAAATATAGGTCCGAAAAGCCGCTGAAGCGGGAATTGAACTCGCGTCTTTCACTTTCCGGGCGACTGCTCTTACCAACTAAGCTATTCAGACCCTTTCGATCCTATATTTTTCATTTGCCTTTTAGTAGATGTTAGTAAATTCTTTCTGATTAATAAATATATTAATACTGTGGCTCAAGTATATTCATTCCACAGACTTCTATAGAAGTCTGTGATTCATTCATAATGACGACACGTGATCAGCTGCCATATTGTCAGATTTTTCACGCATGCGCACTGGAATTTTATACCCTGATTTTCGACTACTATTTGATCATTTGATGCTACTTGTTAAATGTCCACGTTGCTTTCGCTGCCCGGCTAGCTATTCGTGATATTTTAGGTTACTTCACGCAATTTAAATTTTAAAATAAATTTTTTGTATCAAGAAATATTGGTTTAATTGATTGTTACTTTTTGAAAATTTTCTCATAACATTTTTATAACATTTTTCATATATGTATCTATTAAAACATGTAACAAAAAAGTGTTTTATATAAATTAAATATTAATAAAAAAATATAATTTACAGAATTTATGCATGCAATATAATATACAATGTGCTGACTTAATGTATTTTTGTTAGAAATACAGTAAAAATAATTATAAATATATGCATGTATGTAACATATGTGTGTATATATATCCTGTTTTTGCATTTAAAACTTCAGAAAATGATGCAATTATGATTATTGAAACAATCTACTTGCAACAATAATTAATTTACAAGTTGTTAATACATATTTAAAATAATGTTGTTTAGGAAACTGTGAAGATCTATAAAAAGGAGCAAAAATGACCTTGACATGGATTGAGAAGTATAAACTCATTACTAGAAATCTTGGAGAATGGTTGGGAGATGAAAAACTGAAAAGTATCCTGAAGGAACGTGATCTCAAATTGTATTGGGGTACAGCTACAACTGGGAGGCCTCACATCGGCTACTTTGCACCTATGTTCAAGATAGCTGACTTTCTACGAGCTAGAGTAGAGGTGACAATTCTCTTCGCCGATCTTCATGCATATTTGGATAACATGAAAGCACCCTGGGAACTTTTGGAGCTACGTACTCAATATTATGAAGCTGTAATCAAGGCAATGTTGAAGTCCATCGATGTTCCGTTAGACAAATTAAAGTTTGCCAAAGGCACGGATTATCAGTTGTCAAAGTAAGTTGGCCAATTGTACCAAGACTCCTTGTACTTTGTTATACAATTATCTGTTTTTTTTATACCATTCGATTTCAGTCGATTGGTCCCATTATTCCATGCAAAGAAGTATTAAAGTCTGAAGTACCGAAAACTGAATATTTTACAAGATATTTTATATTTTATGTAAAAAAGTTGATAACTTTAAACCTTTATAACTCAAAAAGTACTCCATAAAAAATATTATAAGATTTTGGAAAGTACTTGAAATAACCGACAAGAATATGCAATGAAAAATAGGTAGTTCCATTTAAGAAATTGAAGATGGTCTTCACATGACCTTCAAATGGCTATTCAAGATCAAATCAATGGCACGATCTTATGTCCTCAAAACCCTACAACTTTTGTTTAAAACATTTTTTCGTATCTAAAGCCATTTCCAAGATAAAGAGCTCGGGTCAGACTTTTGAGACACCCTGTAATACATCTTTCTAAAGTGATATTGTTAATAAACTAAAATTATTATATTTTTTTTCAAGGGAATATACATTAGATGTTTATCGTTTGAGCTCGCTTGTGACAGAGCATGATGCAAAGAAAGCTGGTGCAGAAGTTGTCAAGCAGATCTCTAATCCTCTACTATCCGGTCTTCTTTATCCAGGATTACAAGCACTTGATGAGCACCATTTGAAGGTAGACGCGCAATTTGGTGGCGTGGATCAGAGAAAAATTTTCACTTTTTCGGAAAAATATCTGCCTATGATGGGATACGAAAAATGTATCCATTTGATGAATCCAATGAGTCAGTATTAATCGGGAAAAAAATGAACAAGAACTTCTTCATATTGTTTTAAATATATTGTTATTTTCATATTTCTTTCCAGTTCCCGGTTTGGCAGGTGCGAAAATGTCTTCGTCCGAAGAAGATTCCAAGATTGATCTGTTGGACAATGCTGCGACGGTGAAGAAAAAGTTAAAGAAAGCGTTTTGCGAACCTGGAAATGTTACAGACAATGGGGTCTTAGCATTTTCCAAACACGTTATATTCCCATTATTTAAAGATGATGATATTTTCAATGTACCAAGAACTGCAGAATTTGGTATGTAATTTTTATTTTGTCATGCTGCTTGAGGCTGTTTTAATTTTTAATTTTTTTAAAAAATGATAAAATTAACAAAAAAAAAAGAATAAAATTTAATATTATCTGTAATTTTTTCAGGTGGCAATGTGTCCTTTTCAAAGTATGAGGATTTGGAAGCCGCCTTTGTGAAGCAGGAGATACATCCTGGTGATTTGAAAAATGCTGTAGAAATATACATCAACAAACTCCTGGATCCAATAAGAAAGGAATTCGAAGCAAACTCAAAGTTAAAATTACTTGCAAGCAAAGCATATCCTCCATTAAAAAAACAAAGTAATTTAATTTTGTTATGTGTATTTTATGACAAAAATTGTTTTTGACAGCATATATATATATATATAGGGTGTCCTATTTTAATCAATCACCCTCAAAAATTTTCATTTTTGATTATACAACAAAATGTTTTAAACAAAAGGGTGCCTCTTAAGGTCATTTAAAGGTCATTTATATTTTTTAAATTGAACTACTATATTTTTTTTATATAAATCGATTCCTTGTAATTTTTTACATAAAAAGTTGTAAGGATAAGATGACAAAAAAGTAAATAATTTTATTTTTAAAAAATATGGTAAAATTAACTCCATAAGTAACTCCATATTTGACGTGTCCTTTAGAAAACAGTCGATAATGTTATTTTCCATTCCCTCTTAAATCAAACCACTTTTATTTGAAGCATTTTGTTGTACAATTAAAAATAAAAAGTTTATAGGCATGATCAATTAAAATGAAACACCCTGTATATGATTAGTTTCAAATATATTATATAATAATAATATATAGTATTGCTAATAACTAATTGCAATCTTTGGTCATTATTTGATTTATTTAGAAGTTGTAGAGGTAGAAATTACTCCTGCGAGATTGGATATCCGGGTGGGCAAAATAGTCGAAGTTAAAAAGCATCCAGATGCGGACTCACTCTACATTGAGAAAATAGATTTAGGCGAATCAAATGGTCCACGTACCATAGTCAGTGGATTAGTTAACTTTGTACCTTTGAATGAGATGGAAAACAGAATGGTGGTGATCCTTGCCAACTTAAAACCAGCGAATCTCAGGGGAATTTCATCACATGGAATGGTTCTCTGTGCTTCAGTGTAAATATTCTATTATGTAGATAATATTTTTTAATGCACTTTTCATACATATATTTATTGTACAAGAAATTATATAATTTTATAAAAAAATGTAATAATTTTATATTGTTATTAATTACAAATTAAGATAGAAAAAGTATTACGATGACTAAAATATAATTCAATATTATATTTTATATATAGTGAGGAACCAACAAGGCAAGTAGAGCCTTTGAGACCTCCTGCAGACAGTATGCCTGGTGATAAAATTATTATCGAGGGATATAAAGATGGGACAGCGGATGATGTGTTAAATCCAAAGAAGAAAGTGTGGGAAAAGCTGCAGGTACATACATATGTTGATTATTTAATGTGCTAGACATCTTATTGAATCTTTGCATTATATGCATTTCTTAATTTAATTAAGAAATTAAGATAAAAATGCATTTTATAGTAAAATACGATATGTTATTAGGTTGATCTTGTGGTAAATGGAGATGGTGTAGCCTCTTGGAATGGAAACCCACTGCTCACTTTGACGGGTGGCAAAATAATAAGTGATACTCTCAGAAATGTTCCGATTAAATAATGAAGTTATAATTAGCTTTATTTTTCATTACATCAATTAGCTAGAAATCTGTTAGTTTTGATCATGAAATGTTTCGCTTTTTATATTTTTCTAGCACTTAATAGGCGTACACACTTTAATACACACAAAAGTAGAATTATAAAAGTTTGATCAACAATAATTTATATATGTATAATATATATACAATATGTAAAATAAATAAATGCAACCTTATAATTATTAATAATATCTAATAAGATATACTGGATAACACAATTTTATCATTTAATGTAAAAAAATGTAATTTCAAATAAAGAAGTATTGTTGCTGCAATTTATATAAAATGTTGCCTAATTAAACCATAAGTTATTTAAATATAATCAAATTTCAAAGTGATAAATATAAGGCCAACTTATCGAGCTGAATATTCGAGATGTTCAGTCAACTACCATTTATTACATGTATAAATTATAAAACTACAGTCATTATATTAAAACTAACGCAAATTACAATCATTCTATAAACGTTTCGACCGCACGCGGTCTTCTTCAGTATAATTATTGAAATATAAATTCTTACAATTCACATAATATCGAAATTTAATTATAGTTATTCAGAATCAAGAGTTTTTGAGTAATTAACGCGTGTTTCAATCCGTCCTGTCCAACAATGTTCGCCTCGATATGATCCCTGATTTTGTTCAGATCTCGGATAGTTTCATCGTTAATATGCGAGAAATTAACCCGTTCCGTAGGCGCTGCGATTTATAAAAAATTACCGATCAACGCATGTCCAAATTATAATATGTATCCCCTACAATTGGTAGTATGCTTACCTATCATCGTTCTTCTTGATAATTTTGCTACTTATTAACAGTTATTAAGGATGACACATAACAAACCAACAATACAGAAAGACAGCTCATTTTAAACTCTACTTGATCGGAGAGCGTGCGTGTTTATATATGATCTAATATCTATGTTTTACTCGTTAATGTCCTATTTGTCCTATTATTATTTCTTGTTCGCTAATATATCCAAAATATCAAAATACGACTCGCTAAGTAACTCAGTATCTTTGTTTAAATTTAGTCCATTTTTTTGTTCCTTGATATGTAGCATCTCAGAAATGAGTCTTTTATAATAATTATTTTCGTTGTCCATGATCTTAACATTGTCCCAATTAAAAGTATGATGTTCATTTATTATGTGTTCAGAAATTACTGAATGTTTCGTTGAGTCCAACCTAATATTATTTTTATGTTCTTTTATTCGCGTCTGCAATTGCCTCTTTGTTTGGCCTACATAAGATGCATTACAATTATTGCAACTGATCTTATAAACCACATTCGAATTGCATGGATGTTTAGTTTTATCTTTCTGCGCTTTAATAATATTATCCAGTTTGTTGAGACATCTATACCCTACCATACAATTTTTATTTTTTACCGAGGAAACAATCATTTCTGAGATCCCATCTATATACGGAATGACAAAGAATTTTTTATTGACCGAGTCATTTCTTATACTTTTTGTTCTTTCTATGTTGGCCTGTCTCTCTATAATGCTCCCCTTAGATATGATGTGTTCTATCCGATGATTAATTTTGTTAAAAATCAGATCAAGAGGGTAACCATTGCTTCTGAGTATATTAATAATTAACTCCAAATTTTTATTAAAAAATAGTGGATGTGATAGCAATAGACATCTGTCTACAAGGTTATATATTATTCCTATTTTGTGGCATAGTGGGTGGTTTGAATAAAATGATAACGTCCTTCCTGAGAAGGTTTCTTTTTGATACCAGTCTATATATATTTTGTTATTAATAATTTTAAGTGATAAATCTAAGAAATTCAAGCTATGGTTAACCTCTTGTTCGACCGTGAATTTAAGTCTTTCATGATAGTTGTTAAAATTATTCACAATCTGAGTCATATTAGTCATAGAGGTGGCCACTATTATGTCATCCACATAACGAAAATAAAACAAACATTCCAAATTCAACGCTTTGAGAACTGTATCCTCAAGATCTTGCATAACCAGGTCTGCAATAATTGGTGATAACGGTGACCCCATAGGGGTCCCAAACGTCTGTTTATAAATTATGTCATCAAATGTAAAATATGTAGAAGTCAATATGAATTTTATACCCCCCAAAAATTCGTTTTTCGGTATTTTAGTATTTATTCCAATGTGATCCCATCTATCGTTAATACCGTCAATCGCAAGATCCAGAGGAACGTTCGTAAACAAAGACACCACATCCAAGGAAAACATCCTATCATTCTCATCAATCTTTTTACCAGACAATATGCTGTACAAATCAAAACTATTATTAATATGACTTTTCGCTTTGGGTAGACTAGTTCGTAAGGTGTTTTGTAAAAACGAAGCCAGCGAGTATAGAGCTGTATCAACCGATGAAACTATGATTCTAACTGGATAGTTTTCCTTATGGATTTTCGGTAATCCATACGCTTTTGGAAGGAGAGAATCACTACAACGTAATTTATAATATTCGTTTTTTGAAATATAATCTTCCTTAAGCCATCTCTTCAACAAATCATTCAAATCGTTCTCTATTTTTTTGCACGGATTTTTTTTAACAATAGTGTAAGTGTTGACATCTTTTAAAACGTTTTCCATTTTGTTAATATAATGAGATCTTTCCATTGCCACCGTAGCATTACCCTTGTCCGCGCGTGTGAATAGAACATTCGGATTGTCTTTACAAAATTTTATTAAATCTCTGTGTGCACCAAGTAATTTTTGTTGACTTACGTCATTTTTATCCTTCGTGTTCAGAAGTTGTGCAAATTTTGGAACCGCGATATTTCTGATTGTTGTGAGATTATTAATATTATTTCGTTTGCTATTACTCTCTATGTCCTTGATGAATTCATGTATCGCTGTTTTTTTACTAATATTCGGAAGACAGAATTTATCACCCATTTGCAACAGATTAGAAACGTTAGGCGGAATGTCTGTGTTGGAAAGATTAACAAACCATTTTTTATTAGTATTTTCCAAAGGGTTAATTGTATCATTGAAAATTTATTGGCTTCTATGTGTATATTGATCTCCTTGGCATCATTAGTGATTGCCCTGAGAGAATTTTGTGATATTTTCGTCGGTTGTGAAGTTTCAAAATGTAAAGAACAATGTATATCTATAGGTTTGATGCTGTTGATATACTTATAGTGTTGTTTTCTCTTAAGCCAATTGAATTTCTTTTCGTGTGCAGTAACCAATCTGTTGTGGCAATTTTTAAAAGCAATGTTATGATGTTCGAAAATTCTATTCCACGCGAGTACAGGTAAACGATTAAATAACCCGCTGGTGAGATGAAAAATCCTATTTTGTAATGACTCTACCTGTCTATGCAAATCAAAGATTTCAATGCTCATCGCATTTGTTTTGAATTTGTACAACATACTATCTAGTCTTCTGATCGATCTGTGATGAAAAACGTTAAATTTAATGCGGCAAAAACCTTCTAAATGTGTAGGAAAAATATCGCCATTTTTACAATTTCTTAAAAATTCCAATTTTGCTCTCGCTCTTATTAACAAGTAATTCGCATTAATCCATTGTTTAAAATAATCTGCGGTTATTCTTCCAAAAACTCTATGAATAAAATTAAAATTAAAATAGTAATCAGTCCGTTTTGTGTTAAATTGACGCATTGTAAGGCCAGCGTATATTAAAAATAAATTAATACAATTGTCGCTCGTATATTGAAAACAAAGTGATAAATATAAGGCCAACTTATCGAGCTGAATATTCGAGATGTTCAGTCAACTACCATTTATTACATGTATAAATTATAAAACTACAGTCATTATATTAAAACTAACGCAAATTACAATCATTCTATAAACGTTTCGACCGCACGCGGTCTTCTTCAGTATAATTATTGAAATATAAATTCTTACAATTCACATAATATCGAAATTTAATTATAGTTATTCAGAATCAAGAGTTTTTGAGTAATTAACGCGTGTTTCAATCCGTCCTGTCCAACAATGTTCGCCTCGATATGATCCCTGATTTTGTTCAGATCTCGGATAGTTTCATCGTTAATATGCGAGAAATTAACCCGTTCCGTAGGCGCTGCGATTTATAAAAAATTACCGATCAACGCATGTCCAAATTATAATATGTATCCCCTACAATTGGTAGTATGCTTACCTATCATCGTTCTTCTTGATAATTTTGCTACTTATTAACAGTTATTAAGGATGACACATAACAAACCAACAATACAGAAAGACAGCTCATTTTAAACTCTACTTGATCGGAGAGCGTGCGTGTTTATATATGATCTAATATCTATGTTTTACTCGTTAATGTCCTATTTGTCCTATTATTATTTCTTGTTCGCTAATATATCCAAAATATCAAAATACGACTCGCTAAGTAACTCAGTATCTTTGTTTAAATTTAGTCCATTTTTTTGTTCCTTGATATGTAGCATCTCAGAAATGAGTCTTTTATAATAATTATTTTCGTTGTCCATGATCTTAACATTGTCCCAATTAAAAGTATGATGTTCATTTATTATGTGTTCAGAAATTACTGAATGTTTCGTTGAGTCCAACCTAATATTATTTTTATGTTCTTTTATTCGCGTCTGCAATTGCCTCTTTGTTTGGCCTACATAAGATGCATTACAATTATTGCAACTGATCTTATAAACCACATTCGAATTGCATGGATGTTTAGTTTTATCTTTCTGCGCTTTAATAATATTATCCAGTTTGTTGAGACATCTATACCCTACCATACAATTTTTATTTTTTACCGAGGAAACAATCATTTCTGAGATCCCATCTATATACGGAATGACAAAGAATTTTTTATTGACCGAGTCATTTCTTATACTTTTTGTTCTTTCTATGTTGGCCTGTCTCTCTATAATGCTCCCCTTAGATATGATGTGTTCTATCCGATGATTAATTTTGTTAAAAATCAGATCAAGAGGGTAACCATTGCTTCTGAGTATATTAATAATTAACTCCAAATTTTTATTAAAAAATAGTGGATGTGATAGCAATAGACATCTGTCTACAAGGTTATATATTATTCCTATTTTGTGGCATAGTGGGTGGTTTGAATAAAATGATAACGTCCTTCCTGAGAAGGTTTCTTTTTGATACCAGTCTATATATATTTTGTTATTAATAATTTTAAGTGATAAATCTAAGAAATTCAAGCTAT